GCTCTAAAGTTGAATTGGAACCCACTTTCCCGATGGATTCCTGGGAGTTAAGTGGCTTTTCTCGGTTGGGGTTGAACTGCGGGGTCCTTGGTGCTCTCTGAGCTTGGAGACGTTTCATGACCAAACTAGGTATTGTCATCAGTGTTAGAAGAGAGTGGGATGTGTTTGGGGTGGGAAGGAAGAAGGGGAGGACGACAAGGACTGTGGGGTTCTTGGTGCTAAACTTGGTGGTTTTCTTGCAGGCGTTTCATGACCCAACTAGGCAACTAGGTCCATCAATGCTAGAAGGGGGGTTGGGAAGAAGAGGAGGAGGAGGAGGAGGGGAAGAAGAATGACTGTGGGGTTTTTCTTGCTCTCTATGCTTAGGGATTTCTTTGCAAACATTTCATGACCAAACTAGGTAATATAGTGAATGCTGGAAGGGATTGAGGTTTGCGGAGAAGGAGGGAGGGAGGAAAGGAAAGGAAGGGGAAGGGAAGAAAGGGCCCCTTCTCAAGCATACTTGAATTTATGGCACGTGTGCCAGAAGTGGCACGCAGGGCCATCCCACTGGGGGACACGTGGAGGGAGAAAAGGGTGTCATGGTGGGAGGAACGGACAGACAGAAGGAAGGAAGGACTGGGAGGGAGAAAAGAAGTGCAGCTGGATGTAAGGTTGGGAGGAATGGACATAGCCATTCCAGACAAATGGTTGTCCAATCTCGTCTTCAAAACCTCCAGTGATGGAGCATCCCACAACTTCTGGAGACAAGTCCTTCTCACCAGTAGGAAATTTCCTTAATTCTAGATTGCTTCGCTCCTTGATTAATTTCTTGTCCTGCCTTCGGGTGCTTTGGAGAACAGGTTGATACTCCCCCCCCCCCTATTTTCTTCAGGGCAGCCCCTCAGATATTAGAACATTGCTATCATGTCTTCCCCCCCCCCAAATACTCCTCTTCCCCAATTTCTACAGCCCCCTAAATCATCTTCATTGCTCTACTCTGCCCCAGCATACAAGATTGGCTGCCGGTTTCCCAGCCCCTTCTTCTCTGGCGTGCCTCTTTATTGGTGGGCCTGTCCCACAAGGCTCAGTGCTGGCACACTCACACCGTGTGTGCTGGCACGTTGGGCGGAAGGAGGAGGGGACTTCCTGTCTTGGCTGTTGAGGGATCGAATCTTGGCGGCTGAGCGTTTTAGTGGCCCCTAAAACAAATTGACTCCCCTTTTCCTTGGCGGTTGATTCATTCAGCTTTGCAATCTTATCATTCTTCCTTTGCTGGTTATTTTATTTTACTTTTTATTTTATTTTTATAAGAGAACTTTCATGTTTGGCAGGCTGAGCTACTTTAGTTAAAATTATTATTATTATTACTATTATTATTATTATTGATGATTGCACAGTCAGCTGGATGTTCAGACTGGGTTTGGCATTTTGAATATTTATTATTATTATTATGTGGTTAATCTGGTGAGATTCACAGCCTTTGGGGCTGGTTGGTAACTCAACAGCTCGAGTCCTAACCAAGGACCTAGGATGATCTTCTTCTTCTCCTTCTCCTTCTCCTTCTCCTTCTTCTTCTTCTCCTTCTTCTCCTTCTT